TTCGTGCATGGGTAGGGTCCCTTGGCCTGGCCAGCAATTGCGGCCTATTGGAAGGCTGGCCAGGGGAGGGAAACTAGGAGGTTGGCCAGCCGGCACCCCCATCAGGGCCTATGGGGGGGGGGGCGGCTGGCAGGTGGTAGGGGCCTCAGGAGGTTGGTGGGCCACAGGAGGTTGGCTGTGGGAGCGCACTTACAACCAGGGACAGCTCCTGCATTGAGCGCCTGCCCCTAGTGGTCAGTGCGCATCATAGTGACTGGTAGACCAGTCGTTCAGTCATAATGGTCACTTAGGCTTTAACTTAAGCTACAGTTGGACATCCTTAGCGCTGCTGAGGAGGGGGGAGAGGCTCTCGCCACCACCGCTGTACTGGCAGCCATCAGCCTGGCTTGTGGCTGAGCAGAGCTCCCCCATGTGAGAGCACACTGACCACCAGGGGGCAGCTCCTGCATTGAGTGTCTGCCCCCTGGTGGTTGGTGTGTGTCATAGTGACCAGTCATTCACAGTCATTCTGCTGTTAGGGTCAGTTTGAATATTACCCTTTTATTATATAGGATAGAGGCATGGTGCATGGGTGGGGGCCGGCTGGTTTGTCCTGAAGGGTGTCCTGGATCAGGGTGGGCGTGTCCCTGCTGGGGTGCCTGGCCAGTCTGGGTAAGGGGCTGAGGGCCGTTTTCAGGCTGGCCAAGCCCCACCGGCAACAGAGGCTTTCAGCCTCTTCTTTTTTACTTTTCTTTTATTCTGGAATTTATTTACCTTCTATAATTGAAACTTTGTAGCCTTGAGAGATCAGAGCTGGCCAGGGCAGGCAGGAGGGAAGCCTCCTGCTCGCTCCAGCTCCGTGGCCATGGCCGGCTGAAAACAGGTATCTGGGGTTTATTTACCTTCTATAATTGAAACTTTGTTGCTTTGAGTGGAGCTCAGAGCCCACTGCGGCGAGTGGGAAGCTTGGCTTCCTCCATCATTGGGGCAACCAAGCCTCCTGCTTGCTCCAGCTCCGTGGCTTCCAGCCGCCATCTTGATTGGGTTAATTTGCATATAGTCACTTGGATTGGCTGGTGGGCGTGGCTTAAGACATGGCGAAGGTACTGTCAATTTGCATGTTTGTCTTTTATTAGTGTAGATGCTTTTGAATGTACCTGCATTTAATTTCTAAATAAGAGATAATTTTGTTCAAGAAAATTGTGGAAAACGAGAAACATGGTAATTAGCTGTAAAAAAAAAAGAAAAGAATATTGTGCATATGATAATCATCTTTGTTTAAACCTGAGTTTTAAAGTATTTGAGACTTCTGGGGGTTCCTTTTGATTAAGTAAATGCAACCTATAGACTTGATGGTGGTTATCTTAAGGCAAATTTATAGGCTTCATAGGATTTTTATGCTACTCAATTATATGTCACCAAAAGTTGCTTTTGTGCTTGCTGTCATTAACTAGAAATCTATGTAACAGTAAATTTCAAATTGTTGGACTGATACTTCAGAAATTTAGAACCTCTACAATAATCACAAACATCATGAGGTAATTTAAACATAAAGAGATCATCTATACTAATAAAAGGATAATATGCTAATTAGAGTGGACATCCTTCTGAACAAAGCCATGGTGGTGGGGCCAAAGCAGAGGCAGTTAGGGGTGATCAGACCTGCAGGGAAGAGCAGTTAGGAGGATAAAGCCAGCAGGGAAGAGCAGTTAGGGGCATCAGGTCAACAGGGGAGGGCAGTTAGGGGGATCAGGCCAGCAGGCGGGCGAGCCGTTAGAAGTCAGCAGCCTTGGATTGTGAGCGGGATATCCAACTGTGGGATAGGGCCGAAACCAGCAGTCAGACATCCCCCATGGTGTCCTGTATTACAGAGGGTGCAGGCCAGGCTGAGGGACACCTGTGCATGAATTTCGTGCCCCTGGCGTCTAGTTTAAGTGATAAGCTGACTGAGTGCTGAGATATGTAAGCATGCTTCTCAGGCACCCAAGGTAGTCACTCAGACCTCAGGTGCTTTCAAATCATTCCATTTTAAGGGGAAGAAATATTTATTTAACTCTCCAGTAATTAAATTTATTTAGTGATTAGTTTAAGCAGATGTCGTTATTGCCTTTAACATTATGAACTCTTTGGAAAATTGTGACCTTCTAGAGCAGTGATTTTCAATCTTTTTAACTCATGGCACACATAAAGTAATTACTAAAATTCTGTAGCACAACAACAAATACATTCTATTTGTTGCCAATCTGACAAAAAAAAAGTGTAATTTTTATTCATTCACACCAGATGGCTATTGTGTAGCTGTTGTCATTTTTTTTATTTGACAATCTGAAAGAAAAGAGCTGAGTGACCCTGACTAAATAGTCAGGTATTGCATGTTTTTAAAAAATCTTGTCCCGCACCAGTTGGAAATTGCTGTTCTAGATCAAGGATCAACAAACTTTTTCCTGAAAAGCTCAAATATTAAGTATTTTAGGCTCCTCTGGCTGGCAGGTCTCTGTGGAGCTATTCAACTCTGCTGTTGAGGTGTGAAAATAGTCAGAGGCAATACATGAACAAATGTGCGTGGCTGTGGTTCAGCTTTATTTATGGACACCGAAACTTAATTTTATATAACTTCCAGGTGTCAAAATTTTTATGCTCTTTAAAGCATTTAGAAACGTAAATACCATTCTTGTCTGGAGGGCCACACAAAACGGATGGCAGATTGGGTTGGTTCTGCTGGCTAAAGTTTGCCAACCCCATTGGTTGGGAAAATATGCCTTAATAACACATTCTTAAAGTCCTCCACAGCCAAATCTAACTATCCCAAAATTCTTACTGATTTGAGCTTATGTCTTTCAAAGTGACAAAAGATGTTCACTTTGTTACCAGCCACTTCTTCGTAACACCAATAGTATTGCTTCTTTTTCTCACTTTATTTGTGGTTCACAGAAGTAAATTAAAAGGAATTTTTACTCTGCCTTTTAAGAAACTGTCTTTTGTTAGATGATGCCGTGTGGTATGATGGACGTAAAACTGGAAAACTTGGAAACCAGGCTGTAGCTGATTCTGCCCCTACTCAAAGTGGTCAAGTTTGTCAAACTTCTAAGACTCCATTGTCTATCATGCTCATCTGGAAGAAGTATTAAGAGGCTCTATTGTAATAATAGATAAGAAATTAGTGGTAAAGAGTGTAACATAAGTATTGCCTTTGTGGTGATGGTTGCACTTTATTATTACTCTTATAATAATTTGACTTCTGGCAGGGCTTCCTATGTATTCTGATATATCCCTCTTAAAGATTAGATAATGGTTAAGGATTTGCACATAAATTTTTTCTAGGATTTTTATCTCCATATGCTCACACTTTTAAGCTAGTTTTATCTCCTCATTGTATATACATGTACCATGTTCATTACTAAAGTACTATAAAATTTTCAAATTATATTCCATGAATTCTCTTATTGCTACTCTGTGAGGGCAGAGACTTTATCTGTTTTGTCCCTGCTCTCTCCCCAGTACCCAAAACAATGTATGGGAATATGTTTGGGTCTCATAAGTGGATCTGAGTTAATCAGTGACACAAATAATTTCATATGTTCCCTTGTCTTGCATTAGCAAAAGGAATATAGAAAGCTCATTCTACATAAAATGTTGTCAAATACATAAAATAAGTAAAATTACAAAGCAAATCTTTTCACCTCTACTAAAATATAGTTCTATCCACAGAATCTAGGATCCATGGACCCTGATTTTTAAAATTTGGAAGAAGTTTTAAGTAGTACCAGAGGACACACAATCCCTAACTACAATTTATAAAATTACTTTGAGAGAATAAAAAACAAAGGCAAGCTTTATTTAGTCTCTTTAAATATCCTTCTCTGTACTTTGAAATTATAACGAAAGACTGGTGTGTGTGTATTTTTTAAGCCTATTTTGGTTAAATTTCCTTTGTTTGCAACAAGATTTTTATAAACTTATTCATAAGTGGCATTCATCTGGAAAGTGACTCGAATATCTCATGGAATTGAGAGGTGGGAAGGAAAGGAACAAGGATAGCTCTGGGAATTTCAGCTTTCTCCAGAGTAGAGCCATTAATGGGGTTCCCAGTCACGTGTCTAAATTTCAGGGTATTAAACAGACACTTGGTTGATCAAGTTTGGATCACACATGCCTGAATTGGTCAGCCAAAGTCAGTTTCAGGAGGTTCTGAATAATGGTGGCTTGTATTTTTTTTTTAGTTGTAATTTTGATGTGGTTGTGGGAGGCGGTGAGTACAGGTGTTTACTTACGCTACCATCTTGGTTCTCCTCTAGATTTGGATGTTATCTTAAATATTCTGGGATATAAGGGTGTGTATAAATCCATGTTTTTTAAAAAAATTTCAGTCTGTTGTTCTGCAGATAATAAAAATATCACTTTTTGCTATGTTGCAGTAGGAAGGATTAGGAAAAATAAATAATTATGACTGGCTGAAATTCAGAAATTTAATGGTAAATGATCATTTTTGATAAAATGATGATCATACTGTAATAAAATAGTCTCTCTTAGATACCCATTGAATAAGTTTCGTGCATTGAATTAGTAATCTAAATAATAAACTATCATGTTTGTTGTTTCTTGTTCTAGATTTTCCTCTAAACTTTAGGTCTGAGAAATTAACTTAGAAATGATGATGCTTTTCCCAATTTCCCTCCCAGGTAAACAACTGGAGGAAAGAACCTTGAACTAAGAGTAGTAAGAACTGGTTTCTCATGCTGGCTCTGCCACCGATCGGTTGTACCATTAGTTGGGTTGTTTAACCTCTCTGGATTTCAGTTTCCTATAGTGTGAAATATGGGGATTGAATCATCTAATTGATATAGCTCTTTTGTGCCTACAATCATAAATTTAGCAAGTCCTGTGTGTAAGACTAAAATTCTGTGATTCTTAATGAGACCTCATAAAATCTCAAAATGTCCTTAAATATGAAACTAGGAAATATAAAATAACTGGCTCTCTGTTCAAAATTGGAAAATTCATCCTTATTCCCTTTTTAACAGGACCAAGGAAATAAAACACCAGAAGCCCAGAGCACAGAGTATTTTCCTTCACCAATTCATAGAATCGTGACACTTCTCTAATTCCATCAAACACAAAGGAATGACCACCTTGGCAGATGGCCACCGAGGATGTCAACAGTTTTTTGGAGGCAAGCAATGAAATATTGATGCTTTGAGTTTTCTATTATTAAGTATGTAGAAACAAGTAGAATTTTGTTTTAATGAAAATATTAAAAGTGTTTTTTAATACTGTAATTTACGTAAGCATAGATAAGCTATTTCTCCCCTCCTTTTTTCCCCCTGAGCATTGTTGCATGTCAAAAATTACATTGAGCTAAGCTGCTTTTGCCCTTCCATGGTAGAGGGTTACATTACATTCCTGAATAAAAGTAAAAATTTAAATAACAGAAATTAAGTACCCACGTTTGACAACAGGTCTCTTTCTGTCTATCTTGGACACACATATACCTACAAATACTAAATAGTTTGGGTGTTGGAATAGTTTGGGTATTTTTAATTATCCATACCATTTATAAACTTTTTGTTTTTATTCCCGCATTTTTCTCAGTTATTTTTAAATATTCTAAAGTCTTCCAAATTCGCGGTAAGTCATCCCTTTATATTCCTCACAGCTTTATATTTTGTGAGATGTCTACATCAAAAGATCCCATTAAGCTTTTAGTTACTTTCACAGCTGCTCTTGCTTTTCCTGGAAAAATAGTCAATCAGGGATTGTGGAACCACAGTGTCATCTTCAAAACTGAAACTAATTACCTTACCCTTTAAATGGAAAGTTAGCCTGGAAATAAATTGACTGTTTTAGAAAAAAAAAATTATAAATGTAAGGAATCTCCCTTCTTCACCTTCATAAAAAAAAAAAAAGGCTTAAATAGAAGAATATAAACCGAAATAAAATAAACTCATAAAAATTTGAGGTGAATGTACTAAAATTTAATTTTTCAAAGCTTTTTATACAAACAGAGAAACTAAAGATTTGCTCAGAATTTTTAATTTAATGTTCCTTCAACTCAGAGGCCTAAGGTCGTTCAGCAAAAGAGTCTGCTTTTTAAGTTGAACTTAGAGAATCACTTTCTAAGTAAAGGAGACCATTAATGTTTACAAAGCCCACTGTAGAGCTTCTGAGTAATGAGTCAAAATTAATTCTTGCTTTTCTGTTGGGGAAAATTTCATCTAATTACATCCAAATTATTCTGCAACTTTTTGGACAGCAAATCCTGATCACCAAAGAAAAGAAAGAGCAGCTGTGTTGCCCCTGCCTCATAGTTATAAGAATAGCAGTATTGTGCAGTCACTGGGCTTTGTAGAACCGTGAGTGATTATCCACTGGCTGCCTTCTGGCAAAAACACACCTCACCTTTCTGAACTGCTGATAATGTATGCCTTCTGTTTGTAAGGATAGATCTTAAAAAAGAAAAAATAGATTCTACTGCTTTCTTAGTTGAGTTGAGTTGTTTAACCTATAAGAAGCAGGAAGTTCTTATAACCTTTGCACACAAGTAACTGTTTCTAAAACTTCTCTCAGAATTATACTTTAATCACGGTTTAAATATTTTCTTAAGTCTAATACAATTCACGTAACTACTTTAAAAAGATACGTTAAATTGACCATTGCTAAATTAGTGGAAATAGTTCCCATAAACAATGCTACTCCATAAGCAGCCTATTGTCAAATTTCTTTCTCTAATGTTTCCTTTTTCAACTCATTTCATATAGCAGACGTTATTTTGATCTTACGTTATTCTTTAATCACAGCAACGTATCTGTGTCAAATAGCTCTAATTTGTATTTCTTCCACATTAAGAACTAGCCCTTTGTTCTCTATGAATTGCATTCTATTTTTGCTCATATCATTAATATGTGACAGATATTTATAGTTCTAATCACAAGTGCTATTTCATTTATTTCCCATATTGTAAGGTTTATTTGTAAATTATCATTGTAGAAATTTTTAGTAATTCGAAAGGCAGTTGTAACACAGCACATATGATTTATAGGTATGACAAATTCAAAGAACAGTGAAGACTAACTGATTAATCCTGTGCCAGACCTACCAGCTGTGTGATCTTGGGCAAATCATTGATTCTCTTTGATCAATGTATATTTTTATATTTTTTATATTTAGATACTAATAATATAAGGATCAAATGGGATAGATGATAACATTAGTAAAAAGCTTAGATATTTAGCACTCACCTAGCACATAATTTAATAAATAGGTGATGTAGTTATCCTACTTTTTGCAAATGATTGAAGAAGGTTTCCTCATAGTAAGCTCAACTCTTAGAAAATAAGTAATGGATTTGTCCATTATACTCATGTCAAATTCTTTTTGCATTATTGTGTTTATTGTACTGCTACTAAATTTTGTTCTTATTGAAATTTCCCCAAAAAAAACAGTTTAAATTTTATACGAAACATGTGAAAATGCAATCTATGCTGAAATCATGGTTAAAAAACATAGCTTTTAAAAAAAGTGATTAAATTTTGAGCTTCATGAAAACTTTATACATTACAAATTTTGCAAGGAACTTTACTTGAGTGATTCACTTCCTGTTCTAAAATTTTAACTTTTTATCAACCAGTATTGTTTGGAGAAATATTCCACATGCAAAGCAAGAGAGTTGAAGAATTTTCTTCTTGGGATTAAATATCTTTTATGTATACATTGATCAAATGTGTATTTAATATGAGAAACTGATTTGATCTTTCCACTAGAAAGATAAAATTAAATAGGCAATTTGGCTCTCTGCATTAGTTTCCTATGTCTGCTGTAATAAATTATTACAAATTGGGTGGCTTAAATTAAAAAAATTTATTCTCCCACAGTTCCTAAGTCTAGAAGTCCAAAATCAAGTTGTCCTCAGGACCATCTTCTTTTAAAGACTCTAGGGGGAACCTGTTCCAGGCCTTTCTCTTAGCTTCTGGTGTGGCCGTCCATCCTTGGTATTCTTTGGCTTATAGATTGATCCCTTCTATCTCTGCCTCGCTCATCACATGGTTTTTCTCCTGTGTCTGTGTCTCTTCTCTTCTTATAAGGACAGGATCATATTGGATTAGGGTCCACCCTAATTCAGCATGACCTCATTTTAACTTGATTAAATCTGCAAAAACGCTTTTTAACAAATAAGGTCACATTCGTAGGTGCCAAGGGTTAGGATTTAAATGTATCTTTGGGGGTCAGGGGTACAATTCAACTGATTAAACACACTGTCTTTTTTATATCTATATAGATAGGTTTAGATATATTTTTTTTAACTGAGAATAAAGTTAAGAAAGAAACATTGATTTTTAAAAACAGAAAATTATCTTCTTCTAGAACAATGGTTGTTTCGCTTGTGACAAGACATGATCTATGAATAGGTTTTTGCTGCTTGCTTAGAATGATTTGGCAGTACAATTTCTTGAACAGAGTTTCTTGATAAACTTTTTCCCATTAACTGAATGGCTCTATTTTTTAAAATTAGAGAACAATAGTTATCTTGTTTGTTTACTTGATATCAGAGTTCAAATAATAGGGATACAGTTTTATGGTCACAGGCATGTGTCCATATTACATATATAAACAAATGTGATGCCCTAAAGACATTAGAGATGGTATGACATTTGTGTTTATAATTTTACTTAGAATTATTCTTTGTAAGTAAATTAACTGAGCCAGTTTTCCTTTGTTGTACTTGATTCAAAACAGGACTACTATTTATTTTCCTGAGTAAGATATTTACTTTAAATTAAGATTAAGAAAAAAATTGTTGACCTTTCAAAAAGAACATAAGCACTAATTCTATTGTTTATTATAGAAAAGCTCATTCTTGTGAATTCTTTCTATATAACTTGGTATGTGGTATATAGATCATCAGTACATTTTTATCACATCTTTTTTATTGTCATCTCCCACGTATTTAGACAACTGTCACAGATTTTCCATGTAATAAAACTTACACTGTGTAAGTTTCAATAAAAAGATTTTATATGTATTTTCTTCTCTTTGAGCTTCTGAAAAGGAAGTAAAGCATTATAAAATCCTATTGTGGGTCCTCGTGTTTTGCCATTCTTGCATATATCCAAAAGTACTTTTCTTGCAGGTAAAACCTGCTTCAAATTATTCTTTACATATAATAGTCACTCAATAAATGTTTATGAAGTGAATGAAGGAAATTGTAATTAGTCCTTCTGCTTGTAGATAGCATCCAAAAGAGTGTTATTAGAAGGTAAAGCAATTCTGAAGCTAACTCTGTTATGCACCTTCATGTTAAATATTTTTCTAAAATTTTATATGAAAGGTAATCAGAGATGGGAATTAGAAAGTTTGCAATGTGGGAAAGTGGCAATATAGTCTTTATTTCCCAGAACTTTTCAGTAAATTGAAGGATTTAAGGTTTATATTATCTCATTTCCAAGTGAATGTTGAAGCCTTGAGGAAAAAACATAAAGTATCTGGTTGAATGAACAGTTGACTATGGATTTTGAGATTGGGGTTTGGTTTTGTAGACTATGGATCAGATTACTAGAGGAGTGGTTCTCCACCCTGACTATGCTTTAGCATAACCAGAGAAATTTTTTAAAAATAGTTATTTAGGCCCTGCCTCTACTGGTTACTCTCTTTTGTTCCGATTACTAGCTGTGTGGCTTTGAGCATTTTTTAGTTCTCAGACTCAGATTCTCGAGAAGTGATGATATAGTAGTAGTGGACTTTTGGATAAGATTGTGTCTTACAGAAATTGAAAATAAAATATAATATATACTTAGAGATGTGCTGATCTAATTAGGAAAACTTTGAACTGAAAACCAGGGATTTGAGATAAATATGCAAATTAAACAATAAAGATTTTATTATTAAGAGCATCAATAATGATGAAGTAAATACCCTGTGTTACTGGTAAAAATACTTGGGGAAAATATTAGGAAATTGTACCTTTGCCTCAAATGTCTATATTCCAAGTCCCAGACTATGTCTGAAACTGGAGTGGACTGATTTCTTAGGTGAGGAATTTAACATCAATAGAGTATTCCCAGTGAAGTTGAATAACCATTTGTTAAGAGTATAACAATGGTAGATATGATGGTGATCAGGACACGTTAGCTTATGGAATGCTTATGAATTGGAAAACCTCTAAGGTTCTTTTCCAACTCA